GAGAGTATTTATATTTGAAATGAGAAATGACCATCTTTCTTTTATCTTTCACATAATGAGTAAAATTATCAATTTGCTATCCTATTTGAGCTTATTAAATTTTTTTTGAAAAAAACTCTAATCAAGAATCACCCTCCACACTGGAGGACAAAGTTTGAAAAAGGCTTGATCATAAAGATAAAAACAAAGAAAAAATAAAGTAAAAGTCCCTAATGATTTCAAGGGCAAAAAAAAAAAAAAACTTTTGGTGCTCAATCTTTTCTAAAAAAAGATGAAAAGTACACATTAAAAAAATAAAAAAAAAGAAAAAAAGAGAATTGAAGAAGAATGGGGTAAAAAACCAAGCTGCTCTATATAATAATAAATGATTATTTGGTTTATAACCCTTTGAATTAATTTTGAGCATATTTTATCTATTTCTTTCATAATCCTCTCACCCAAGCCTACATTACATCTTTTAAAGGTCTATTTTAATCGAATGTAAATGGTCGAAGTGGAGAATCATAAATTGAACTAAGACAAAGTTGTAATGAGAATGTTGAGAATTTTGATCAAAATGTTACTAATGGATTAAGGAGAAAAGGGGAAATAAAAAGGAAAGAAAGTGAAAGAGATGTGTAAAAAAAGGCAAAAAAATAAAAAAAAAAACAAAAAAGTAAAAAAAAAAAGAAAAAAAAGACTTAAACTCAAAACCTAAAGGGATGGTTTAAGTAACAAAAAGGAAACTTGGAAAAATAGCTTTGATGAGGATCCCCAAGAAATAGAAATAATACTTGAATTGATGAAAGATCAAGAATATTAATGGATCAAGCTTTTGAAAAAGAATTTAGAATTAATTTGTTTAGAATTATCTGAATATTCATTAACTTATATGTTGCTTACCCTTCCCAGCATTTTTCTTGATGATTTATTCTAAAATGATTTCTTTGCCTATTTATTCTTTACTAGACTTATTCTTATAATGAATAACTTTTCTTTTGATTTTTCTTATTCTTCACCATTTATTTCTTCTCATGATGAATTAAGAAATGTGATGGATTTGGCAGTGAATTGAAGATGAATGAATAAATGACTATTATGAAAGATCCTTACCTTATTTCAAAATGATTAGGGCATATTCAAAATGAAATTTGAAAGATGAAAGAAGTTTAAAATGATGTTGATTCTTGCGGCTTACAAATGAAAAAAAATATTTCGAATGTTGAAATCAAATGATGAAGCTAATGAAAAGAAATTTTGGATCACAAATTAATTAATACATTTGTTGGCCAGTTCTAAAAAAGTTGAAGAAAAACATAATGAGAAACTAAAAAGAAGACATAAAGAAGAGTCTTGAAATCCCATTGAAAGAAGAAAACTTTGAATTTGGATAAAAAAATGGATGAGATTACTCGATAAGGTATGATAGCTTATGTTGAAAATTAGAAGTGTTGAAGAGTTAAAGAAAGTTAGAAGATAAATCAAGAGCCTTGAGAATCCTTTAATTTACCATAATCGAAAAAAATAAATGAATTGCACAGCATACATTGCATTTACCACATGAATTACATGCATGTATCATATTGAGAATATTACACTCATTCATAGCATTCTTTATGCATATTGGAAAAAAAAATAAAGTTTAAAGTTTGAAATTAGATAGGAATTTTGCATTCATGCATTGTATTCACTGCATCATTACATGTTGCATATATAATCACATTTATTACACTCATGCACTTCATGTTTAGAAAAGAAAGATCAAAGTTTAAGTTGTGAAATTAGGATGGAATTTTGAAAATCTTTGGCTTATGCATTCATTGTATACATACATTGTATTCATTATATTTATCTCATGTATCATACATGTTTGAAAGGAATAAAAATTAAAGTTTAAATCTTGAAATTGAATTTAAGAATTGTGGATAATCTTTTCAGTCATTGCATGCATTCATTGCATATATTAGGAAAACAGGAAGGAAAAACTAGATGAAAAAATAATTTTGAGAAGAGACATTGGAAGGCAATCAATGAAGATTCAAATGAGATGTAGAAACTCAATTTAAGGTAAGATTTTTTTTAAGTTTCAATGCCTTTATCAGGGATAAGCTTTTTCGAATGTAAGAATGATCTCATTTTTTTCTTAAAAAAAAAAAAGTTTCAAACCTCTAAGAAGGAGTCTTTGCAATTTTCTTTTTCAATTTTTCTTGACCCAGACAAAATTTAATGTTTTTTAATCTTATACAATTTTTGTTTAACAAAAATGCACAAAGAGGAGCAACTGTAGACATTCTATTCTGTCAAGGGATTTTTCAAAATTTAATAGGCTTCGAATTTTAATTTTAATTATGCAATTGAGTCTTAATTGAAAAAGTGAATTTTTGGCCCAAAAATTAAACTCTAAATTTTATTTGTATTTTAATTTTTTTAGTTTAATTTTGGTTTAATTTTTATTTTTTAATCAAAAGAGTCAAAGTCAATTGATAAAAAAAAAAGGTAAAAAGTAAAGAAAAAAAAAGGTGAGACTTTGCATGGAAAATCTTGGATTCAATTCAACTTTTAGATTTTATCTAAGATTTTAACTTTAATTGTTGAATAATTTTGAAAAAACTTTGGACTCAATCTATTAAAAAAAAGGAAGATTACCAAGAGAATAAAATTTGGAGAGAAATCTTAGATTCGATTGAATTAATTTCTTCTAAATCGAAAGAGATTCAATCCCTATATAAGGACCTTAAATTTGTGATCAAAGGGAAGCCTCACAGTAATTCACTTTCAGATTAAGTAAAGATTATTGAAAAGAGAGAAAATTTGGGTAAAGTTTTGAATCAACAAAGAAAAACCAATCAAGCAAAAAATTTTTACAAAAGATCCAATTGGAGTTTTTGAAAGGAAGGCTAAGATTTACAGTAGAAAGCATAAGTTTTTGAAAGGTGAAAAATTATTGGAACTCATGATCCATTGAGATAATATTTGCTTTCTTTTTTTTGTGATTTTTACATAACTTTTATATATTTAATTGCATATTTTGCATGATTTATAGATTAGTATTTATATGATTGCATGATTTATATATTATTATTTGCATGATTATATTTTTTTTTGCGTGATTTATAGATTAGTATTTACATGATTGCATGATTTGTATATTATTATTTGTATGATTATAATTTTTTTTGCATGATTTATATTTGCATGATTTATGTATTATTATTTGCATTATATTTTATTTAATTAAATGTTATTTGCATGATTTATATTATGATTCGTATTATTATATATTTAATTGTATGCTTATTTGCATGATTTATATTTTTATTTACATGTTTATTTGCATGATTATTAATATTATTATTGCATGATTATATATTTAGTTGATTGTCTAATTGCATAATTATTAATTTATTTATTTGTGTGACTGCATGATTATATTTTTAATTGTATAATTATTTGCATGTTTATTTGCATGATTTACATTGTTAATTATATGATTATTAATTATTTATTTGTGTGATTGTATGATTATTAATATATTTATTTACACAATTATTTATTATTATTATTATTATTGTATGATTTTATATTTATTGCCATTCCATGATTAATATTATATTTGAATGATATTTAATTGCATGTTTTTATATTTATTGTGTTCATAATTGCATAATTATACATCATTACTAATATATTTGTATGGTATTTTATATTATTTCATGATTATATATTTGTATGAATTGTTATTTATATATTTACATGATTGTTATTATTGCATGATAATTAATATATTTGCATGATAATATTTTTGAATGAATATTTTAGTATGATCTAGGCATGATATTATTATATGATATTTGGTATGATTTATAATATATTTGCTTTATAATTTTTGTATGATATGATTTAATATTTATTGCATGATTACATGATTGCTTGATATTTTGATAAAATTTTTGTATCATCATGTTTTGTAAATAAATAAAAGGATTGGAATTGATTTATTTACACGATAAAATCATCTTTGATAAAACTTAAATTAGATAATACATAATTAATTTGATATTAATTTTGAACGTAAAAATGCTAATAACTTCACAGTATATAATCGATTCTTGAACCTTCATTCTATTGATGTAGATAAAAATTTATTCATTTTAGAGACCCTTAGCTTAGGTTTAGGATAATCTTAAAAAAGATAAATTCATATAAGTGATCAATCATACTTAAATAAAAAAAAATTGATGGTGATTTCATAATTTTTGTATCTAATGAATATGTTTTCCTAATTTAAACATTATGATATCATTAAGACGAAACAAAATATAATTTCTAGGAGTTGTGTTTTTTGGCTTATGCTTTAGATAACAAAGAAATTTTTTTTTTTTTTTGTTAAAGGGAAAATGATGGAGATCATCGAAGCACGAATTGAATTGTGGTGGAGCTAAATTACGTTGGATATTAGTTGATTTTTTCTAAAGCTACTGTGGTCCAATCGATCAATGAGTTTGAGGATGTAAATTTCAAGTTTAAGCTTTCCAAATCTTAACGTACATAATTCAATATGAGATTGTAATCTTTTTCTGGTTTTTTTATACAATCTACATACGAAATTGTGGAAGAAAGGCTTTAAATGAAGCATATTCTAATATGAAACTAAAACACACTTGAAATCCATATCAGCCAAAAAAAAAAAAAGAAAAAAACGAAGTCACGTTATCATCACATTAAACCTCTTACGATATATAATGGCACGTGTCTTTTATAGTTTTATTTTTATTTAAAAAAATCATAAATTATTATAAATAAATAATGTTTAATTTTTATTTATATAAAACAATATATTTAATTTTAAATTAATTAATCATTCAAACAATTAATTTTAAATTGAACATTTAATTAAATATAAAAATTTATTTAAATATAATAAAAATACATAAACTTATTTTTTAAAAAATAAAATAATTCAAGAATTTTTTAATATTTTAACCCGTAAATAAACTAAATAAAGTGTGGAAACGCTCAATTACTAGGTTGAAATTAGTTCAGCGAAGGATAATACTCTCTCTTTCCGGCCTCTCCTTGTCCAGCCACTAGCCGCCACCTTACACAGAATCCTGCCAGTTCCGCCGCTGCTGACGCAGTCTATCGCCGGTGACTGCGTATGCCGGCAACGGAAGCCCAAAAACTCCTTTGTTTCTCATTCTTCTCCCCTTCTTTCCTTTTGGCCGGTTTGGATTTTTTTTTCTGAAAACCTCACTTAAAAGCTATAGAGCATATTCCCTTCTACATATTTGCTTAGAATTACACAAAAAATTCTGACATGTTCCCCAAAGTTCATCTAGTACTCAAGCTCCGGTTTCTCGTCTCCTCCTCGAACTGCCAGTTTCCAACTATAAACTCCGCTGTTCGAATTACTGCCACCTATTCGACAATATGCCAAAACCAAGTTGGAAGCCGGAGGGCAGAAGTTATGGAGCATCCGAGAGATTCTATTGAACTTTTCAGGAAATGGGGTTGCAGCGAAAATGATTTGTTGAAGATTTTTTCACGCCGGCCTTCTTTGCGCCATGCTCAAGTTACTCCCCTGTTATCCAAACTCAACTTGCTGAGTAGCTTGGGACTTACCGGTTCGGACATTGTTAAGATAATCAGTTGTCGCCCTCGTTTCTTGTGTTATCGTATCAATAATTGCTTTGACGAGCGGGTTGAATTTCTCATGACACTATTCGGGTCACGAGAAATGCTTCGTAAAGCCCTTGTTAGGAACCCTTCGCTCTTGTTGTATGATTTCCACAATAGGATGAAACCAGTCATTGCGTTGTATGAAGAATTTGGAGTTAGCGGAAATGATCTGATTAAAATGCTCATCTCGCGGCCCACATTGATCCCAAGGACTTCTTTTAATGAGGAGAAGATGGAATATATAAAGAAAACAGGGGTTTCAAAAGGTTCCAAAATGTATAAATACGTGGTTGCACTTATTGGCATATCGCGGCTTGAGACTATACGTGAAAAGGTGACAAACTTGGAGAAATTTGGGTGTTCAGAGGAGGAGGTTTGGAGTCTTTTGGCACGGTCTCCCCTTATTTTGACATTATCAGTTGACAAGGTTCAAAGGAACATGACTTTTATTCTGGGGACCATGAAGCTCTCTCCAAAACTGGTGCTTCAGCACCCTTTTTTGCTGTTCTGCAATCTGGAAGCTATATTGAAGCCGCGGATATTATTGGCTGGGAAGCTAAAGGAAATGGAGCTCCATCCACAGATTAAGGGATCACTGATGTTAAGGGCACTGAGGATGACAGAAATTCGATTCTTGACAGCATTTGTTAAATGTCACCCACAAAATGTGGCCACTGAACTGTTGGAGTTCTACGAACATGCTAAACGTTGCAAGCGATTGGCGGAGGCCTCAAAGAAAATACTGCGCACTGGATTTCCATTTTGAACATTTTCGTTTATCAGGTGCTGCTGCGTTCATTTCTTTTGCTCCTTGAAAGTTTCACGAGTTTAGATGTCAAGACTAATCATGTTTTTAGAAACTAGGATTTCTCCCCTCTTGTGCCATGATGATTTCGTTAGCGGTTCTTTTCGGAATTCTATTTGTTATTCTCAATGTGTAATGTGAGACTCAAATTTTGGCACATAAAAGTAGATGCCTTTTCGTGTATCATTGGTATTTTCTCTGCCAAAATCCCTTCTACTCCCCCGGGTTGAAGAGCTAAAAATTTAGCTTTGTTGGGTATGTCAGTCGTAACCTTTCATCAGCTTAAGGACTGTGATTATAGGATTTATTTAATAAGTGGTATGAAACTTATATTATTTATTTATCATCGTTTTCATTTCAAAGCTGATGCATTTTTTTTGTGGTTCTTGTGATTCTGTATCCTGAGTTACAACAGATAGGATGCTTCCCAATTTTTATTTATTTTTTAGTTCTTTCCTCTCATTTGGCTAGGATAATCGAATGGAATTTGTTGGGAAAGGCTGGTGCCACTCTTCCCCATCACATTCTTCTTCCTTTGTCTGATCTCTCTTTCTTTATATGTCTCTTACACTCTACTCTCCCACCCCAAAACAACTAGGACATACTAGAACTAGTGGATTCTTCATATCTTTTATAGCAATTGAGATCCTGTTTTTAAGTCCACTAACAGGATAAACGCGCTTCGCTGTGGGTCAAAGGTTATTCATGCTTATTTAAAAAAATTTTAAAAAATGAAATAAAGATAAAAAGATTTTTTTAATGTAAATAATTAAGGATTCATTTAAACATTAAGACATTATATTCATATTTGAAACCAAAAAGGACAAAAGTAAGATAAAGTTCTAATGTGTTGAGAAGTAAAAAATAACCCATAAAAGTTCAATATTGTATTGATAGTTGAGTACTCAACAAAGAGCCAAGATACTCTAGAGCAAAGGAAATCTTGGATATAATGCAAAGGAATCTATTTGATGCAACCAACAAATAGTAGTTACTCAAATTCTATCTTTTTTCTATTTCAAAGATTGGAATTTTCTTATTAGTAAGTAGAAACAAAATGATATCATCTTGCAAAAATGCCTCAAAGCCAAGGAGTTTCTCCGGTGAATTGAAATTTCTTTTTCCAACTTGTAATTGTTAGTGCTTGTGTAAGAGGAAGATGTAATATTACTTCCGAAAATTTGATATCAACTATAAATGTCTAGAAAAGGACAACCCTCAAACTTGACGATTTTTTATACCTCATGAGTAAATGTTCTCACAGGAATGCCTCGGACAAACACAAAACCAGCAAGCTTTAGTGCATTGACATGGCGAGCAAATTTTGTGGTCTTAGATCTCGATGAAGAACCCTATGAGAATGACGATAAGCAATGCCATGAAGAATTTGATTAAGGAATGTCTGCAAGATGATCAAATAACAACATTACTTTTACGAGTAATAATATCATCACCCAAATCCATTAGACAACCAAGGTCAGACAATGACTGATAATAGCAAGGTCTTAATGCATTCAAACAAAGATGTTAACGTTGAATACTGTAATTAATATGGTAAGGAAAGGGGTTGTGCAATTAGACATATCTTGAAAAGCAGTTGCAAAAGTATTACATTTCCACTTGGTTTAAACTCAAAAATATTATACAACACATGACAAGTGTAAGATGGCATATTTCTTGCTTCCATCAGACACTTGAATGAGGAGATTGTAGATAAAAGAACTACAATTCCTCACACTTTCAAAAATATTTGTCAAATTTTCTCTATTATAAATAAAGAAAACCTACAATAACCATTATGTTAATCTTCAGAAAGCTGTTAAAGTCCAAACAAAGAGGAAAGCTTTTTGCATATAAACCTTCAAACAGAAGAAAAATCTCATAAACTTTTATAATTCGTGGATCTTTCCCAAATTCTAGGCATGAATCCATGTGCTTCTTTAAATCCAAGTCCAGATATTCGAAAACCAAATATAAATGCTTCTTGCTATGCACTACATCCTGCAACCTGTCACTCGAAGATCAACCATAGATGTTGCCTAACACGCCTAACAAACAGTTACAACCAATGTAAGGAAGAGAAAAGAAGTTAGCAGTTAGCACATAGTCCAAAATAGGTCTTTTTTTTTTTTTTTGTGAAAGTGCACAACATATTCATATGCAGAGAAATTGCACATCGTAACTGCACATCGAAACTGCACAATGCTTCTAATATGCCATTTTTAGGCTTCAGACTCAGAGAAATTGCAGAACATCTTATAGAATTGAAGTCTCTAGCATCCAATAAAATCTTTAAAACCAGAACATGTAAAAATAATCATTGTTAGAAGAATTACAACCGTTAGATTCAAAATTACCATCGCCAACAAGAAAAAAAAAATGCTAATCCAAAATATTATTTGATAAACTTCAACTTAGCTAAAGATTTTAAAATCAGAAAAATAGTAAAAAAAAAAGAAAAAAGGCCAAGATGATTTGCATTGATATTGAGGGTCTTTGATTGGTACATGATAAGGCGAACCTTGCCACTGACTTTATGCTTTAAAAGCTTCACACTTCCAACTTCTCTTTAATCCTATCGATTCCCTTCCTTATCGAATTGATACAGCTTTACCTCTCTGAATCAAATCATTTTTTAGCAAAAAAAGAGAAAAAAAAAATCTAATCAGACCCAATGCCTAATTCGACAGTAAATGGGCAAGGTCGTCGCGATTAAGAACATGGCAATCGAAAACAAAGAGGGGTTTTAGATTTTTTCTAAAAAGGATAGGGAGAATAGAAGTGAGGTAGAGAGGGAGAAAGGTTGAGAACGCGTTAGAGTATGGATGGATTTTTGAACTCAGAATAAAAATGAAAACACCAGTTGTGAATTGCAATTCTTTTTTTTTGTTTGGTAAATGAAGAAAGCATTGTTTACAAAGCATGAAAGTGTTTGTGCCGAGCATAGATCTAAGGGCGTTCTTGAAAAGATAGAAGAGCATTTAGAGGTAAAGATAAGGAATGTTTTTTGCATTTGCACTCCATAGTACAAGTCAAAATGAATTAGGTTAGAAGAAGAATAATATGAAAAGCTAGAAAGAGATTGAACTTGTCTTAATGATGCATGGACACTCGTATTTATAGATAAGAAATAAGGGATCATCGGGAGATAATAACGATGTGATCAAACTAACGTGGCATTAAGTGTGTCAGTTCAGGTTGGCACAAATATCAGAATTATCCATAACTGTTTGCTAAAGGGTCCTAATGAGGAAAAAAACCACTATACTTTTTTGACCACCAAATGTTCCCAATATTCTATCCCCCCATCAAGTGGTTTGAATATCAAACTAATGGGTGTGCGACACATTTCATGCAGGCCAAATAAGTAAAAAAGAATGACGTGAAATTTGATTTCTTATAGTTGACGTCATCGTGGAGGTCGACATTAAGAGACAATTAGCCTTAAGTAGTGGTTCGGCCTAGTAGGGGTTCGATCTCACATGTATCTTTTGGGTTGTGTGTATAGTCAGCTTGAGGATCCCAAGGTATTAATTGTTCAGGATGATCCAAGATTAGGATGAGAGTTTGCTTGGTTGACATGGGACTTGTGTTTTATTTTAAGAGCTTGGATTTGAGTCTTTATTTTGAACTTTGGAGGCAAACCAGGCTTCGATTCAAGTGAGGAATTTGCTAGGCTTGTTTCAAGGAGCCGTCTGATCTAGTCGATCTAATGGCATTAAATAAGAAAAAATGTAGTTTGAGCTAGAAAATCTAAAATAAGAATATGAAAAGGCATCTTCTTGTCTATGCTTTGACATGTGGCATAGCATGGGTTGTTTATCTTATCTGAGGCGTGGCTATATAAAGGGTCGTTAGAACTTTCATTTTCTATTTTTCTGCTTTCATTGCTCTTAATTCGACCTAAATTTTTTACTTCAAAAGCTTTCCAACCTTAGTTGTTTTTCGTTTCATCTGTTCTCTCCGTGTTCTTCAATACGTATTTTTCATTATGTCTTCTAGTTTTAGTTTTGAAAAGGCCAAGAGTTTCAAGGTAAAACTTGAAGGGTTAGCTCGGGCAAAATGATGACAACCTGATTTTGTCAATCATCAGAGGTCGTGATTGTCAAAAGATAACCTACTGGTTCAACCCGATGTCCAAAAAAGGGCAACAATGAAATGATGACAATGCTCAGGTAAAAGGAGAATGGATTCTAAGTATATATGAGCTATGTGCTCAAATATATTTTGAGCTAAAAAATTCACTTTATTTCCCTATCTCTTAGGTTAATCTGTCTTCTATGGCTGATTTTCTTTTACTTTTAGCTGTTCCCTCTTTTAGGGTCCAATCTCATCAATTTTCCTCTACTGCTTTTTCTCTTATAAATGCTCTCATCGTCACTTTCATTCCTCTTTGGTGAACTTTTATTAAGATTACTTCTTCTCCTAAGGGGTTTTTACCTCGCCCTTTTTCCTCAGAGGTCATATTGCTCTCAACCACGGTTTTATCTCAAAATCTTACTCTTACTCAGGAGTTAAAGTTTTCTAGTGGTGAAAATTCTAACAATAAAGAAGGTTCCAATGAGGAACAGAAGGAATGGAGTGCCTCGACTGGGGAAAGTGATGGCGAGGAAAAGACTCTTGTGGAGCAAAATGAGTTAGCCAAGGTTCCTATATATATTCTTTGTGACTTCGGTATAATCCCTAAGAATGTGATGAGGGAACTAAAAGTTAGGATTAATCCCGAAAACTATCCTAACATGTTTTCAACTCATCACATCCGTGCTTTGGTCATGACCTTTTGTTTTCCCAGAAAAAGGTATAGCATATTAATGCCAAACTTCTCAGATCGAGTCACTGATATATTAGAGTCGCATCGACCTCTATGTATACTAGGATTCATTCGTGCTCAGTTTGAGATTTTCACTTTTTTTTATTTGTTTTAATTTTTAATTCTTATAATTTAGCTGTCACTTAGCTCACTCCTAACTCTATACGGTATATAGTAAGTTTCATGATTCTTTGTCAATATTTAGATATTTTTCTCGCTCTTCTTCTATTTATGAAATTTTTTTCCATTAAAAAGCATCATAACGATAGGAATTGGTATTACATAATAGCTCGACCCAATAAAAATTATTTGTCAATTGCTCGAGCTCTATCAAAAATTGGAAGCTACTCTTCTTTTGCCTTTAAAAGCAAAAAAAAAAAAATGAAGATGATGAAACCAAGGTTGAGACTAAGGCTAAAGTCGAGGCTTGGGAAATAATAAATAAGCTCGGTGCTTTTATAGATGTGATAATAGCTCTCTTTATTCTAAATTTATCAGATCAGGATAAAATAACAAAGTACAGTCATAAGGGT